GGGCACGGCAAGCCCCAGAGAGGGGGAGTGCCATATCGGTTTATCGAGAAGCCCAAGGGGGTGCAGTAGATCCCAGCGAGGGGCTGGGTACTACAGAGAGCCCAGAGTGGGCTACGCTATCGAGGAGGCCCGGGAAGCGGGCCTGGAGACCCAACAACGTCGATCACATCAGCGAGGCTGGGGGCGTGGTATCAGGGGCTGGTAGGAGCCACGCATAGCCCATAAGGCTAGGGTGCTTAGGGGTCACCCATCGTACCGGGTGACCACAGGAGTCCGGGAGAACCGCGGGGACAGAGGTCCCGAGTAGCCGTGCCCAGGGAGTCATAGGCAGCCTCCCAACTATATATATATTCCATCAAGACGTGGCGGGCGAGAATTAGAGGGTGCCTTGGGCCGGCCTGACACGGTGCGAGGGACTTCGGGGAGAACACGGCCCTCCGCGAGGACCCCGCCGTGACATTCTCCTCCACAGAAAGGATGTGGACTAATTGGAGAGAGTCCAGAAGAGGACAACAAAAACAGGCAGGGGGCTGGGCCACATGATTTCTGAGGAAAGACTGAGGGAACTGGGTTTATTTAATCTAGAGAAGAGGATACTGAGAGGGGATTTAATAGCAGCCTTCAGTTACCTGAAGGAGGGATCAAAAGAGGATAGAGCTAGACTGTTCTCAGTAGTGGCAGATGACAGATGAAGGAGCAATGGTCTCAAGTTGTTGCAAGGGAAGTGTAGATTAGATATTAGGAAGAATTTTCTCACTAGGAGGGCAGTAAAACACTGGAACAGGTGACCCAGAGAAGTGGTAGAATCTCCATCCTTGGAGGTTTTTATGACCCGGGTAGACAAAGCCTTGGCTGGGGTGATCTAGTTGGGGATGTAATCCAACCTCCTTTGAGTAGGGGGTTGGACTACATGACCTCCTGAGGTCCCTTCCAACCCTAATTTTCTATGATTCTGGGCATGTCTGTGTGTGCAATTAATATGACTGAATATATTATTCTGGCTCAATCTAAACCAGAGTAAACTAATCCTGACATCAATATTTACATGTATGTTTAAGTGCAGTAATTTACTGTGGCATAGGATAATACCTGTGTCCAATGGGACTATCATATGCTGGAGTTAATTAATTTACTGTGCACTAATTTTGGCACACATGCAGTGCAGACAGTGATGTTTTACTGTGCACTAAATAAGTTTAAT